CCTTGCCTTGCCTTGCCTTCCTTTGTTCCTCCCTCCCTTCCTTCTTTCCTTCCTTCCTTTCTTTCCCTTCCCTTTTCTTCCCTTGCCTTCCTTCGTTCCTCCCTCCCTCCCTCCTTCCCTTCTTTCCTTCCTTCCTTCCCTAGTTCATATCCAGGATATTTTCCTTTCCCTCTTCCTTCTTTTCTTTTCTTTTCTTCCTTCCCTCCCTAGTTCATACCCAGGATATTTTCCTTTTCCTTCCTTTCCCTTCCCTTCCTCTTCCTTTCTTTTCTTTCCCCCTCCCTCCCTCCCTGGGAGTTGGTTCACAAGCCTTAAAGATTGCCAGGTGTGGAGACCCCTGCCCTAGGCCAGTGGGGAGCTGCCTCTGTGCTTTAAAACATCTGTTGGGGGAAATGAACGAGTATAATTACGAAGCCGGAGGTTCCGGGGGAAGGAGGAAGGATTCGCAAAGCGGCCCGTCGGCTCGCTCTTTACCCCCCTCGCGTGGGTTTTCCTCCCCTGCCCCCCCCCCCAGGTTGCTGGAGCCTCCAACCAACACCGAAATAGCCAACTACCCCATTTACAAGATCCTGTTCTGCGTGCGAGGTCACGACGGGACTCCCGAGAGCGACTGCTTCGCTTTCACAGAAAGCCATTACAACTCTGAGCTCTTCAGAATTCACGTCTTCCGATGCGAGATCCAGGAAGCGGTAAGTCCAACGGGTGGAGCTGCGTGTGTGTGGGGGGGGGGCTGGGGTCCCTCGGCAGGAAGCAGGTGAGGAGATCTGCCTTCCTTTAGTTGGAATGTGAGGTTGGACTTCTCCCTTCTCCATCCTTTATTCTCCTTCCTCTACTCCTGCCTCCCCTTCTCTCCTCTCTTCTCTCTGTTTTCTTCTTTCCTTCCCTCCTTCCTCTCTTCCATCCTTTCCTCCCTTCCTCTCCTCTCCTTTCTCTCTGTTTTCTTCCTTTCTTCCATCCTTCCTTCCTCTCCTCCTCTCTCCCCTTCTCTCCTCTCTCTACCTTCCTTCCTTCCCTCCTTCCTTTCTTCCATCCTTTCCTCCCTCCCTCTCTTCTCTGTTTTCTTCCTTTCTTCCATCCTTTCCTCCCTTCCTCTCCTCCTCCCCTCCCCTCTCCTTTATCTTTTTCTCTCTCTCCTTCCTTCCTTCCTTCCTTCCTTCCTTCCTTCCTTCCTTTCTTCCACCTATCCTTTTCTCTCTTCCTCTACTTCTCCTCTTTCTCTCCCCTTCTCTCCTCTCTCTCTGTTTTCTACCTTCCTTCCCTCCTTCCTCTCTTCCATCCTTTCCTCCCTTCCTCTCCTCTCCTTTCTCTCTGTTTTCTTCCTTTCTTCCATCCTTCCTTCCTCTCCTCTCCCCTTCTCTCCCCTTCTCTCCTCTCCTCTCTCTACCTTCCTTCCCTCCTTCCTTTCTTCCATCCTTTCCTCCCTCCCTCTCTTCTCTGTTTTCTTCCTTTCTTCCATCCTTTCCTCCCTGCCTCTCCTCCTCCCCTCCCCTCTCCTTTATCTTTTTTCTCTCTCCTTCCTTCCTTTCTTCCACCTATCCTTTTCTCTTTTCCTCTACTTCTCATCCTCCTCTCCCCTCCTCTCCTCTCCTCTCTTTATCTTCTACCTTCCTTCCTCCTTCCTCTCTTCCATCCTTTCCTCCCTCCCTCTCCTCTCCTTTCTCTCTGTTTTCTTCCTTCCTTTCTTCCATCCTTTCCTCTCCTCCTCCCCTCCCCTCTCCTTTATCTTTTTTCTCTCTGTCTTCTTCCTTCCTTTCTTCCACCTATCCTTTTCTCTCTTCCTCTACTTCTTCTCCTCCTCTCCCCCTCCCTCCCTCCCTCCCTTCTGCCCCCTCCTCCTCCTCCTCTTCTTCCTCTTCATCTCCAGGTGAGCCGGATCCTGTACAGTTTTGCAACCGCTTTCCGCCGTTCTGCCAAGCAAGTCCCTCTTGCAGCCCCGGTTACTCCCGAGATGCCGGACAGCGACATTTTCACCTTTTCGGTCTCGCTGGAAATCAAGGAGGACGATGGGAAAGGCTGCTTCAGGTATCAGCTTCCCGTTGAGCATTTGGCGAGGCTTCTGATTTGACAGGCCCTGGGCAACCTTCCCCTCCAGAATCAGATTCAAGGATTTTAACGTGCAGCTGTTTCGGGGTGTACATTTTGCATTATTCTTGCAAAAAAAAAATCAGTCTTGGTAGAAAGTGATTAAATTCTCATTGCTACTGGCCATTATTTAGAACTACATTTTTGTAACACTAAAGCTGTTTTTAGTTTTCTAACTCTCACAAGTCTGGCCAGTTTATACTGCCTGACTGAGCCAAAGAAATGTGAACAGATTCTTCAATTAATTATCCTAGGCCAGGGGTAGGCAACCTTGGCTCTTTTATGACTGGTGGACTTCAACTCCCAGAATTCCTGAGCCAGCCTGGCTCAGCTTGGAAACCTCTCCCTTTCCCCTCAGCCTGGCTGGCTCAGGAATTCTGGGGGTTGAAGTCCACCAGTCATAAAAGAGCCAAGGTTGCCTATCTCTGGCCTAGGCCTAGGCCGCTTTATGACTAGTGGACTTCAACTCCCAGAATTCCTGAGCCAGCAAGGCTCAGCTTGGAAACCTCTCCCTTTCCCCTCAGCCTGGCTGGCTCAGGAATTCTGGGAGTTGAAGTCCACTAGTCATAAAAGACCTAAGGTTGCCTAGCCCTGTCTTAGGTCTTCACACGGGGTGGGGAAATCTTGGCTTGTTTTCTCTCACCTTTCCCTAATCCAGGAAGCCAGGATTGCAGTCCAGAGGCGCTGGGTTGTGGGGAAGGTGGCTTGATCAATTAGCCTGCCTCAGGTTTCCTTTTCTCTGACCTCATCCTGACAGCCCGGTGGAAGCTAAACAGATGATGATTTAATAGCTCCTTGAATGAAATGTGTCTCCCTGTTTACAAAGTCAGTTGGATGACAAGGGGGAGACCCATCTGGAAGTCCCCTGGGGTGCCTCGACATTGGGAGACTTTGAACTTCGCCTTTTTTGGTTTCCCTTCCCTCCCCAGTGCCGTTCCGAAGGACAAAGACAGGCAGTGCTTCAAGTTACGGCAAGGAATCGACAAGAAGATTGTCCTCTACGTGCAACAGACCACGAACAAAGAGCTGGCCATTGAGAGGTAAGGCAGCACCTGTCGGGCCTCGGCCCTGGCGCTTAAGGCCGAGGCAGGTGAGAGAACGATCAGGGGTGTCCAACCTTGGCGACTTTTAAGACTGGGGGACTTCAACTCCCACGCTGGCTGGCGCATTTTGGGAGTTGACGCCCCCAAGTCTTAAAATTGCCACGGTTTGATAACCCCTCCTCGAAATATTTCATTATCTGCTATCCCCAAGGTTGCTTTTTCACGCGGCATCTGGACTCTTTCTTGTGTTTCTTTGAAGACCTTTCGCTTCTCATCCCAGAAGCTTCTTCAGCTCTGACTGGATGGTGGGGAAATGGAAGGATGGATACTCCTTGCAGACAGCTGGTCATTTACCTTCCTTTAGAGCAGTGGTTTTCAACCTTTCTAATGCCGCGACCCCATAATACAGTTCCCCATGTTGTGGTGACCCCCAACCACTTATACATCACCGGGTGCCAGGGCCGTGGCCAAAGAAAAGGGGGAAAAAATGGCGGACAGCCTTGTTTGGCGACCCCCGTGAAATGGTCGTTCGACCCCAAATGGGGTCCCGACCCACAGGTTGAGAACCACTGGTCTAGAGAGTCCTTGAGGCCGCTTGGAGGTTTACCTGTGTCCTCAGGGTCACCTGAGGGGTTGCAAATGGAAGTGGAGCCTTCTTGGAAGGGCTGAAAGGATTTGTGTTGGGAGGACTCTACCGGGGGGTCGGTCCGTCTTGCCAACCTCCTTCTCTTTCATGTTTGCAGATGTTTCGGCCTCCTCCTCAGTCCCGGCAAAGACGTGCAGAGCGGAGACATGCATTTGCTGGATTTGGTAAGTCACCCTCCTTTCCCCCACCTCATCTGAACGTGCCCCTTCCCTCCCCGCCACCTGCTACGGGGCGTGCTGTGGTCCATCCCGGCCTCTCTCTGTGCTTCTAGGAGTCCATGGGGAAAAGCTCGGATGGGAAATCGTACATCATCACCGGGAGTTGGAACACCAAGTCTCCGCACTTCCAAATTGTGAACGAGGAGACGCCCAAAGGTTCGTCAGAGTCTGGGCGGCAGGGCCACCCCAGTCCGTAGGGCAGTGATGAAATATGGTCCCCCCCACCCCCCCCACCCCCAGAGAACCCCAGAATAGAGGCTGGACCCTGCAGGTCACCTTCGTGGAAGATGCAGGCCAGGGGATCCACACACGGAGTGGGACAACTCGCCACAGCCAACTGGCCAGGGGCTAACTTGTCATGGGACAACTCGCTCTGGGACAGTTCAGCAATTCAATTTCATTATCTAAGATAATTAAAATATTATTTTAATTTTTGTCATTCACATTTCATTTTCTCCCTTCTTTGGCATCCTTTCTTTGATGATTCTGTGCCACCGTTTGTTTGATATTAGTGTAACTCTTGTCCCGTGGTGAGTTGGCTATGTTGAGTTGGCCATGGCGAGTTGGCTATGTTGAGTTGGCCATGGCGAGTTGGCTATGTTGAGTTGGCCATGGTGTGTTTGCTATGTTGAGTAGGCCATGGTGTGTTGGCTGTGTTGAGTTGGCCATGGAGAGTTAGCCATGGAGAGTTGGCTATGTTGAGTTGGCCATGGCGTGTTGGATAAGTTGAATTGCCCATGGAGAGTTGGCTATGGAGAGTTGGCCATGGCAAGTTGGCTATGTTGAGTTGGCCGTGGCGTGTTGGCTGTGTTGAGTTGGCCATGGAGAGTTGGCTATGTTGAGTTGGCCATGGTGTGTTTGCTATGTTGAGTTGGCCATGGAGAGTTGGCTATGCAAGTTGGCCATGGCAAGTTGGCTATGTTGAGTTGCCCATGGCGTGTTGGATAAGTTGAGTTGCCCATGGCGAGTTGGCTATGGAGAGTTGGCCATGGTGAGTTGGCTATGTTGAGTTGGCCATGGCGTGTTGGCTATGTTGAGTTGGCCATGGAGAGTTGGCTATGGCGAGTTGGCCATGGAGAGTTGGCTATGAAGAGTGGGCCATGGAGAGTTGGCCATGGAGTATTGGCTATGTTGAGTTGGCCATGGCGAGTTGGGTCTCGGAGTCCATGGACAGCTTCTTGAAACTCCCAGTTTCTTTCCCAGGGTTTCCCTCCCCGTTTTTATGGCAAGTTGAGTAGTGACAGAAGCTAGCGAGCCTCTTAGCAATTCAACCTTGACATCAGGAGTTTTTTTGGCCAGCTTGAAGATGCTGCTGTGGACAGAATCTGCCCTGCTCTTCACTGTCCAGCCGCAGCTCATTCTCTAACCATTAGGTTTTGCCTCCCTCCTCCACTTCCTCCTCTTCCTCCTCCACTTCCTCCTCTTCCTTCTCCATTTCTCCTCCTCCACTTCCTCCTCTTTCTCCTCCACTTCCTTCTCCATTTCTCCTCCACTTCCTCCTCCACCTCCTCCTTCACTTCCTCCTCTCCTCCTCCTCCTCCACTTCCTCCACCTCCTCCTTCCCCCACCTCCTCCTCCCTCCACCTCCTCCACTTCCTCCTCTCCTCCACTTCCTCCTCCTCTCCCCCACCTCCTCCACTTCCTCCTCCACCTCCTCCTTCCCCCACCTCCTCCTCCATTTCCTTCTACTCCTCCACCTCCTCCTGCTCTACCTCCCCCACCTCCTCCTTCACCTCCTCCTCCTCCTCCACTTCCTTCTACTCCTCCACTTCCTTCTACTCCTCCTCCTCCTCCTCCCTTCTACTCCTCCACCTCCTCCTGCTCCACCTCCCCCACCTCTCCTCCACCTCCCCCCGCCTCCTCTGCAGACAAGGTGCTCTTCCTGACCACAGCGGTGGACCTGGTGATTACGGAAGTGCAGGAGCCCGTCCGCTTCCTCCTGGAGTCCAAAATCCGCGTCTGTCCCCCGAACGAGCGGCTCTACTGGCCTTTCAGCAAGAGAAGCTCCACGGAAAACTTCTTCCTCAAACTGAAGCAGGTGAGACCTCTGTGCTCCACCCCCGTTGGGAAGGGAGGGGAAGGTGTCTATTCCACTCTGATTAAAAAAAGAATTTAAAGAAATGAAAGCGGATGGCTCCTGTCCCAAAGGGAATGTATAGGCTTTGGGTTCCCGGGGCGTTTGTGTTCCGCTTGGGACCCAATCCCCCCCCCCCCGACGGCTGTTGTGTTGCTCAGATCAAGCAAAAGGACCGCAAGGCCAGCACCGACACCCTCTACGAAGTGGTCTGCCTGGAGAGCGAGTCGCAGAAGGAAAGGAGGAAAACCACAGCCAGTCCCGCCCTCCGGCTCCCCCAGTCCGGCTCCCAAGGCTCCATCATCCCCTCCCCGCCCGAGGATGACGAGGAGGAAGGTGAGGAAGGCTGGCTTTTCCAGGGTGGTCCCTTGCGAGGGGGCAGGGGGGTGGGTGGGCGGTGGGCTAGCTGCAGCTTCGGCAAGAGGTTTGGGGCGTGTCCGTGTCCCTCCCTCCCTCTATAAGATGGATCGGTCCTAAAACGCTCTGCCCCACGAGAGGCCGGGTTTCGGTAGCAGTCTTCCCATGTCTGAGGGGCTGTCACAGAGAGGAGTGGGACAACCTGTTTTCCAAAGCACCTGAAGGTCGGACAAGGACTAACGGATGGAAACGGATCGAGGAGAGATTCAACCTGGCAATACGGAGGAATTTTCTGACAGTTGGAACAATGAACCAGGGGAAGAGTTTGCCTTTAGAAGTTTCATCGCTGGAAGCTTTCAAGAAAGGACTGGACTGCCATCTGTTCAGAAATGGCGTAGGGTCTCCTACTTGCGGGGTTAGACTAGATGACCTACAAGGTCCCTTCCAACTCTGCTACTTTCTAATTCTATTCTAGTCTAGTCTATTCCACTCCACTCCATTCCATTCCATTCCTCTATATTCTATTCTACTCTACTCCACTCCACTCCATTCCATATTCTACTCTACTCTGCTCTGTTCCGTTCCATTCCATTCTATTCTATTCTATTCTTATTCCATTCCATATTCTATTCTGTTCTATTCTATTTCTCTCCTGCATTCTATTCCATTCCACTCCTCTCCTCCCCACTCCGTTCCATATTCTATTCTATTCTATTCTATTCTATTCTATTCTATTCTATTCTATTCTATTCTATTCTATTCTATTCTATTCTATTCTATTCTATTCTATTCTTTCTTATTCTATTCTGTTCTATTCTATTCTATTCTATTCTGTATTTTATTTCTATTCCATTCCATTCCATTCCACTCCATTCTATTCTATTCTATTCTATTCTATTCTATTCTATTCTATTCTATTCTATTCTATTCTATTCTATTCTGTATTTTATTTCCATTCCATTCCATTCTATTCTATTCTATTCTATTCTTTCTTATTCTATTCTGTTCTATTCTATTCTTTCTTATTCTATTCTGTTCTATTCTATTCTATTCTATTCTTTCTTATTCTATTCTATTCTGTTCTATTCTATTCTATATTTTATTTCTATTCCATTCCATTCTATTCTATTCTATTCTATTCTATTTTATATTCCATTCCATTCCATTCTATTCTATTCTATTCTTTCTTATTCTATTCTGTTCTATTCTATTCTATTCTGTATTTTATTTCCATTCCATTCCACTCCATTCCATTCCATTCCATTCCATTCCATTCTATTCTATTCTATTCTATTCTATTCTATTCTATTCTATTCTATTCTATTCTTTCTTATTCTATTCTGTTCTATTCTATTCTATTCTGTATTTTATTTCCATTCCATTCCACTCCATTCCATTCCATTCTATTCTATTCTATTCTATTCTATTCTATTCTATTCTATTCTATTCTATTCTATTCTATTTTATATTCCATTCTATTCCATTCTATTCTATTCTATTCTGTTCTATTCTTTATAAAATTTAGGGTAACTCTGGGCAGCTTACATATAAGCTACAACACTAGCACTGATGATGTTACCTAGCTGGGCTAATGAAACATCTGCAAGGAAACCACCAAGCTCAGAGAGCACCAAGGGCCCCTCATTTCAACTCCGAGTTACAAATATTCCCCTCTGTTAATGCTGGAACAGCAGCTTGCCTTCAGAACATGTGGGAGATTCATCCCGGGAAGTTTTCAAGAAAAGACCGGACCGCCATCGGTCAGAAATGGTTCAGGGTCTCCTGCTTGGGCAGGGGGGGAGGGGTTGGACTAGATGACCTACAAGGTCCCTTCCAACTCTGTTATTCTATTGTAAATCACCCAGTTTGGTCTCCACGAAAGCCGCCCAGCTGCAGCAGAGGCCGCTCCTTGTTTCTGAAAGGGACACCTGCTTTGGATTGGGGCAGGAAAGCGGGCTTCGGGCAGGCACCCGTGGATGAGTGGCTCCCAACTGGGGGTGGGGTTACTTTGTTGGCTTTCCTTTCCCCCCTCCCTGAGACGCCGCCTCCTATTTTGCAGATAATGACGAGCCTCTGCTCAGTGGCTCAGGGGACGTCTCCAAAGAGTGTGCGGAGAAGATCCTGGAGACGTGGGGAGACCTACTTTCCAAGTGGTAAGCGCTCTGCTTCCTGCATCCACGTTCCAGAAATCGTCCTGGTTGGAGAATCCAGTCAGGAGAAGGGAGGCATGTAGGCAAAGTCCCAGTGCAGCCATTCCCCACAAGCCTTGAGGGCTGAGAGTAATTGCTTGTGAGCAAAGAGGGGCCATCGCAACCCTCCTTCTGTTCAGCACTTTCTTACATGAGTAGAATAGAATAGAGAATGAATAGAATAGAGAATGAATAGAATAAAGAATGAATAGAATAAAATAGAATAGAGAATGAATAGAATAGAATAGAGAATGAATAGAATACGAATGAATAGAATAGAATAGAGAATGAATAGAATAGAGAATGAATAGAATAGAATAAAGAATGAATAGAATAGAATAGAATAGAGAATGAATAGAATAGAATAGAGAATGAATAGAATAGAATAGAGAATGAATAAAATAGAGAATGAATAGAATAGAACAGAATGAATAGAATAGAATAAAGAATGAATAGAATAAAATAGAATAGAGAATGAATAGAATAGAATAGAGAATGAATAGAATAGAATAGAGAATGAATAGAATAGAGAATGAATAAAATAGAGAATGAATAGAATAGAGAATGAATAAAATAGAGAATGAATAGAATAGAACAGAATGAATAGAATAGAGAATGAATAGAATAGAACAGAATGAATAGAATAGAATAAAGAATGAATAGAATAAAATAGAATAGAGAATGAATAGAATAAAATAGAATAGAGAATGAATAGAATAGAATAGAGAATGAATAGAATAGAATAGAGAATGAATAGAATAGAATAGAGAATGAATAGAATAGAATAAAGAATGAATAGAAAATGAATAGAATAGAATAGAGAATGAATAGAATAGAATAGAATAGAGAATGAATAGAATAATGAATAGAATAGAATAGAATATGGAATGGAGTGGAGAGGAGAGGAGTGGAATGGAATGCATGAGAGGAATAGAATAGAATAGAATAACTTTATTGTCACTTTTAATGTACATTAATACATTAAAATGAGATTTCGTTGTATACAGCTCTCATAGGTAACTACCTCCAATATACACTGCATAAATATGACAACAACAACAACAATAATAATAATCCTACATACACACATACATACAGTCTAGTTCGGATGCATGCATATATATGGCGAGAAAAACAAATCTTGCCAGTTCACCAGACGGGTGGCATAGGGAACAAAGAGGAGGGAGGCAAGGCTGGGGCAACAGCACGCGTGCCCATAGAGAGGGCTCCGAGTGCCGCCTCTGGCACCAGTGCCATAGGTTCGCCACCACTGGATTAGTCTAAAGAAAAGAAGAAGCAGGGGTGACATGAGTGCAGTTATTCCAGTATTTGAGGGGCTGCCACAAAGAAGAGGGGGTGGGGTCACATTATTCTCCAAAGCCCCAGAGGGCAGGACAAGAAACAGTGGTTGGAAACTGATCAGAGAGAGAAGCAGCCTGGAATTAAGGAGAAACTTCCCAACAGGGAGAATAATTAACCAGTGGAACAGCTTGCCACCAGAAATTGTGGGCGCTTCATCCCTGCAGATTTTTTAAGAAGAGACTGGGCAGCCACCCGTCTGAAACGACATAGGGTCTCCTGCTCGAGCAGCGGGGCTGGACTAGAAGACCTCCAAGGTCCCTTCCAGCTGTATTCTATTCAGGTCCCGGCTGAGCTGCCATAAAGAAGAGGGAGTCAAGCTATTCTCCAAAGCACCCGAAGGCAGGACAAGAAGCAACGGGTGGAAACTAATCAAGGAGAGAAGCAACCTAGAACTAAGGATACACTTCCTAACAGGGAGGACAATTAACCAGTGGAACAACCTGCCTCCAGAAGCAGTGAATGCTCCAACACTGGAAGTTTTCAAGAAGAGACTGGACAGCCATTTGTCTGAAATGGTATAGGGTTTCCTGCCCGAGCAGGGGGTTGGACTAGATGACCTCCAAGGTCCCTTCCAACTTTACTATTATTATTATTATTGATTATCGCATAGTCAGCCAGATGTTCAGACTGGATTTGGCATTTTGTCTACCTATCGAGTCCTTACCCAGGACCTGGGATAGGCAGATGTGGATGTTTGATGGTATTACAGATATCGTCGCAGGATGGAAGCAGTTCCTAGTAAGGCCGCCTTTTGCAATTGACTAATAGCGAATTTGTCAATGCCAATGGTGTTCAAGTGGTGCTACAGTTGTTTTGGGATTGCACCTAAAGAGCCTATTACTATTGGTAGTAATAGGCTCTACCAATAGTAATAGGCTATTATTATTATTATTATTATTATTATCATTCATCGCACAGTCAGCCAGATGTTCAGCCTGGATTTGGCATTTTGTCTACCTATCGAGTCCTTACCCAGGACCTGGGATAGGCAGATGTGGATGGTTGATGGTATTACAGGTATCGTCGCAGGATGGAAGCAGTTCCTAATAAGGCCGCCTTTTGCAATTGATTAATAGCGAATTTGTCAATTTCCATGTGTTCAATTGGTGCTCGACAGGTTGTTTTGGGATTGCGCCCAGAAGAGCCTATGACTATTGGTACTACCCTTGGCTTGCTTTATTGCCACAAGTCTTTCTATTTCTCTATTTGTAGGTCTTTGTATTTTGTTATTTTCTCCAGTTCTTTCTCTTCTATTCTGCTATCTCCAGGCACTGCCACGTCCACTATCCAGACTTTTTTGTCTTTCTTATCGACAATTGTTAAGTCTGGGGTGTTATGTTGCATGTGCTTGTCTGTTTGAATTCTGAAGTCCCAGAGGAGTTTAATTTTATCATTTTCTATGACTTTCTCTATTTTATGATCCCACCAGTTTTTGCTTACAGGCAAATGATATTTTTTGCAGATCTTCCAATGCACCCTTGTTGCTACTTTGTCATGCCACTGCTTGTAGTCAGTCTGTGCAATCTTCTTGCAACAGCTTACCAAAGTGGTCCACTAGTTTCGTCGCTTCTTGCAAGGCGGCACCTTACTGTCTGTTGCTGGCTTCGTCAATTTTGACTTTGTATGCATTGGTCCTTAAATGCTTGGTCTTGTGGCAGCCAGAATTAGTCCCCATCGGTCTCTTTTCCCCTCTGTTTCTTCAATTTTTCCAATGCTCTTAAATGAAGCGATTGCCAGGTGTTTATATTGCTTTCCCAGCTATTTTTTTTAATGTACTGGCCATGTAGTGCTTTGTCTTCCCATGCCTCTATTCTGTTCTTCATTTGGTCTTTCTTGTAGGCCAGTTTGGTCTCTCCAGTAGTCAGTAAGCTTCCTGATATACTAATTTTAGTGCATCTTCATTATTGTTCTTCAGATATTCTTCCAAAGCCATTTTTTCTTCTTCAACCATCTGATGTACTTGTATATTCCACGCCCACCTATTTGCCTTGTTAGATAAAGTCTATCAATGTCACTGCGTGGATGAAGGGCAGGATTCATTGTCATTATTTTTCTGGTCTTCCTATCCATTGCTTTTAGTTCTGCTTGAGTCCAGTCCACGATTGCCATGCTGTGTACCTAATGACTGGGATTGCCCAGTGTTTGATTGCCTTTATGGTATTTCCGTCCTTCCATTGAGTTTGGATTTTAGATCTTCTTCACTCTCTTGATGTATTTCACCTCTAATCTTTTTTCTTGACATTCAGTGTGCTTATGTTGTTCGCTGAAGTATAACCCAGTATTTGTAGGTTTTTATTCTTCTCGTCCAGACTCTTAATTTTTATTTTTTCAAGGGGGCATCTTGATTCTCTTCAGTTTTCACATTTTTCCTTGTTTGATAGTAAGTGTGGCACATTGTCCAAGCCAAACTCCATAACAATATCTTGGCTATATATACGGACAGTGTTGAGCAGCGATTCTATTTCAGATGATGTTTTTCCATACAGCTTCAGATCATCCATATAAAGGAGGTGGGATAGTCTGGCAGATGTTTTTGATGTTTGATAGCCATGTCCTGAGTTATTCAGTATTGTTGACAGAGGAAACAGTGCAATAACAAATAGTAATGTTGATAATGAATCTCCTTGAAATATTCCTCTCTTGATATTAACCTCTCCCAGCCTCTCACCATTGATCTGCAACTGTGTCTTCCATTGTGCCATCGATCTTTGCACAAATTTTCTGATGTTTCTACTGACTCCTGTTATTTCTAGGCACTTTATTATCCAATCATGTGGCAGAGAGTCAAATGCCCTTTTGTAGTCAATCCATGCCACATTCAGGTTGGTCTTCCTTCTCTTGCAGTTTTCCAAGATCAATTTGTCTATTAGGAGTTGATCTTTTGTTCCTCTGCTATTGGGGCGGTTTCCTTTCTGCTCAGGTGGAAAGAGATTGTTTTCAACTAGATGCTGTTGTACTGCATCAGCTACCACACCAGTTAGTAATTTGAATGTTGTTGGTAAGCAGGTAATTGGCCTGTAGTTACCTGGTGTTTATTATTATTATTATTATTATTATTATTATTATTATTATTATTATTATTATTATTAAGCTCTGCTCCCTCTTTTCCCAGGCACTTGAACCTGAGCGTGCGACCCAAAGCCTTGTCTGCCTTGGTGAGGAGCGGCGTCCCCGAAGCTCTCCGTGGAGAAGTGTGGCAGCTTTTGGCAGGTTGTCACAACAACGACTTTCTGGTGGAGAAGTACCGGATTCTCATCACAAAGGTGGGTGTGTCTGCGAACACGGGCTGGGGCAGGAGATCTTTTCCCAGTGGCCCTGGGTCGGGGGGCCTCTGGAACCCCTTGGCAAAGCAAGGAGGCTGGTCCTGGGAACGACCGACGAGCACGTGGAATACCATTTTGGAGGCATTTTTAAGGCAGAGTTTCAGTGAATCTGCTCAGCGCCCGCACAGCCGTCTTCGGGTTGAAGTGACCACAGTGTCGCCTCTCCCCTTAGCGAGGACGTTGCGCTTCCCGCCCCTCTCTTTCCGGTCTCCGGCTCGGAAAGCTGCTCAACTGTCTCAGTTTCCCGGGGGTGGGGGGGTGATAAAATCCCATTCCCATTCTTGGAACATGCCGCTGCATCTGAGGTTTTGCGAGGCACGCACGTTGAATTTTTAGAGGAGACGACGGAGCCTGCGTCAAAGGTAGCCCAAACAATGGGGACGGAAAAGTGAAGGGGGTCAAATCTGTCTTGAGTGTGTGACCTTTGGAAGAAGCACATGTCTTAGGTCTGTGTCTGTGTGTGTGTTGAACAATTGCATGCCTGCTTTTTCTTTCACCGTCCGACGTTTCAAATTTAGGGCACGTAGCAAGGTCAGGGGAGACACAGCCGCGCCTATAAGCAGCTTTTGTTTCCTAGTTGCTCAGCAGGAATCTGGTTCAATTTTGGGGAGACAGCACCAGCTTCTGGGTTGTGTTGAGAGCCACTCTTTCGTCTTGTCTTTGCCGTTCCATTTTCCTTGCCTACGTTTATTCAGCTGCGCGTGTATTTTAAAAAAAACCCCGTGTTTAAAAAGATGGTGTCGAGGCCACTCTACGTCAAATGCGTGGCTTTAAGAGCCGCAGCCGGTGGGAGAGCGCAAAAACGGGACTCGGTTCCTATCCCAGGTCCACAGTCCAGAAGCATTGCTGAGGTGGGGTCTCAGATGCAGGAGGGGGGTGGCCCACAAGGGGCCTTTGACCCACCCCAGAGGTTTTTTCCAAGGATCCCTGGAGAAGGCCTTTGTGATTTGCCATGGGGAGGGCTTCCATCTTGGGTGCAGTCGCCAGCTTTGGTGCTTTCCGGTGGGGAGAGGATGAAACGGCTTGACTTCGCTAAGGCTTGAGCCGCAGGGGGTTCCCCAGCTAGGCTGGGTGTGTAACTTGCAAGGAAGAATCTGCTCCGGGTCCTCGCGCGGCTTGCGCGGCCCACGGGTTGAGGCACGCGCACACAAACCCCGTGAGGTTGAATGCCGCAACAAGCGTTCCCGTCCTCAGTTCTGGAGCGCAGCGTTCTGAGCTGGCCGGCCGGCCAACCTGCTTCCCACCCCAGGTCCCGGTCTTGTCACCTTGGCTCGCCGTCTTGGGCCCAGCAGCTCTGGGTAGGGGCTCAGTTTGCCATATTGGTCCAGTTGCCAGCCGCTTTCCGTTCTGGCTTTTTAGCAGTGTGGTTGTGTTGCTAGGCTGCCTGGCAATTCCTGTGTCTCTCTTTCTCTCACTTTTTCTCTTTCTCTTTCTTTCTCTCTCTGTCTCTCTCCTTCTCCCCCTCCCTCCCTCTCTCCTTTCTCTTTTGCTTTTTCTCTTTCTCTCTTTCTCGCCTTCTCTCTCTCTCCTTTCTCTTTCTCTCACTTTTTCTCTTTCTCTTTCTTTCTCTTTCTCTGTCTGTCTCTCTTCTTCTCCCCCTCCCTCCCCCCCTCTCTCCTTTCTCTTTCTCTCACTTTTTCTCCTTTCTCTTTCTCTCTTTCTCTCTTTCTCTCTCCTTTCTCTTTCTCTCACTTTTTCTTTCTCTTTCTTTTTCTGTCTCTCTTTCTCCTCTCTCTCTCTGCCTCTCTCTCTCTCTGTCTCCTTTCTCTCTCTCTCTTTTTCTCCTTCCTTTCTCTTTCTCTCTTTCTCTCTCTCTCTCTCTCCTTTCTCTTTCTCTAACTTTTTCTTTCTTTTTCTTTCTCTTTCTGTCTCTCTTTCTCTCTGTCTCTGCTTCTGTCTCTCTCTCTGCCTCTCTCTCTCTCTATCTCCTTTCTCTTTCTCTCACTTTTTCTCCTCTCTTTCTCTCTCCTTTCTCTTTCTTTCACTTTTTCTTTCTCTTTCTTTCTTTCTCTTTCTTTCTCCTCTCTGTCTCTCTCTCTGCCTCTGCCTCCTTTCTCTCTTTCTCTCTTTTTCTCCTCTCTCTCTCTCTCTCTCTTTCTCTCCTTCTCCCTCCCTCTCCCCCTCCCTCCCCCCCACTGCTTCCAAATTCCCATCAGCTAAAGCTCAACAGAGATGTGCCGATTGAGAGGAACGGATGTAGTTTTAAACAACAAAAAACGTGGATGGTTGGGAGGGGGGGAATGCAAGGTTGAGAAAAAAAAAGAGAGCTGGGGATAACCTCGAACAGTGAGGTCTGGGGTCTTCTAAAGCAGCGCCCCCCACCTTTTGGGCACCGGGGGGGTCTGGTTCCATGGGGAGAGGTTTTTGTCACAGACTGGGGAGTGGGGGGGGAACCTGGTTTTGTGCGCTGCCTGCCTCCCACAGATGGGTCTTTCGCTTCTTTGTGCGGCCCGGTTTCTGATATGCTGCAGACCGGTGCCGGTTGACAGAAAGGAGGTTGGGGACCCCTCTTCTAAAGAGCCAGAAATGGGGTCTTCCAAGCGCCCCAGTTGTGTTCCTGATGCGTTTCCTCATAGCCCCCTTTGAGAAGCCCCTTCCTGGATACCTAGAGCAGAGGGCCCCAACTTTTGGGGCACCAGGGACCAGATCTGTGGAGAGGTTTTCCCGCGGACCGGAGTGTGCATGGTTTCGTGTGCTGCCTGCATCCCACAGACGGGGCTTTGCTTGTTTGTGCGGACCGGTTGCTGGCATGGCGCAGCCCGGTACCGGTCCAGAGACCGGGGGTTGGGGACCCTTATTCTAGTCCAAACCCCGTGCTCAAGCAGGAGACTCTAAACCAGTGGTTCTCAACCTTTTTAATGCCGCGAGCCCCAACCGGTCGTAAGTCGAGGACTACTCAACCGGTCGTAAGTTGAGGACTACTCAACCGGTGCAGCACCGTTTACAAAATGGGACTTTTGGCAGGCTCAGCAGGGCAGAGACAGCCTGGACCATTCCTATTGGCTTTGGAAAGCCAATAGAATTAGACTCTATTCAAGAGAGTCTATTCTATTGGCTTTCAAAAGCCAATAGAATAAAAGGGAGTAGCACAGCTAAGGAAAAGGGGAAAAAAATGGTGGACTGCATTGTTTGGCGACCCCCGTGAAATGGTCGTTCGACCCCAAATGGGGTCCCGACCCACAGGTTGAGAACCGCTGCTCTAAACCAGAGGTCCCCAATCTTTTGGGCACCAGGGACCGGTTCCGTGGAGTGATGTTTTTCCGCCGACCGGAGAGTGCATGGTTTTGTGTGCCGCCTACATCCCACGGATGGGGCTTTGCTTGTTTGTGCGGACCAGTTGCTGTCATGCTGTGGCCCATATACCGGAGGTTGGGGACCCCTAACCTAGACAGCCGAAGCAGGGCGAGGGATTTGGGCTTCCGAACCTGCTTGAAAGCTTGCTCGTTGGCCAGGAGAGTGGATTCTTCCCACAGAGGCTGCGTGGTGGCGGGCATTCAACCCTTGCTTGGCATCGGCGTCTTCGGCCCAAACACTTCTTCCGCTGCCCTGGCAGGTGGGAAACTGAAGCCTGTTTGGTTTACTCTGTGTTTATTCCGTCTTGGAGTTTTGGGATGTTCAGCAGCTCAAGAGCCAAAAGCCCAGAAGACGGAGCAAGGTGATTTCCACCCCTCTGTTCAGGCGCCGATGTTGCAAAAGGACTCGGTGCAGTGCCACAGGGAGGTTATCCCCAGAACTGCAATTATGGGCAGGCAGTCCTCAGCTTACGACCACAATTTCCGTCGTTAAGCGAGACGTTTGCCACGTGACTTTTCCTCCGATTTTTACGGTCTTCCCTGCCACGGTAGTTAAAGTGAAATCCCCGCAGTTGTTAAATTGGGAACAGAGTTGTGAAGGGAATCCAGCTTCGCTTCTCCGAAAGGTCGCAAAAGGGGGTCAGTTCCAAAGCGTCTTAATTTTGAATCACGCGACTGCGGGGCATGCAACGGTCGTAAGGGCGAAAAACGGTCCGAAGTGTCACTTTTTTCAGTACTGTTGTCACTTTGAACAACAACAACAACAACAATAATAATAATAATAATAAAGTTGGAAGGGACCTTGGAGGTCATCTAGTCCAACCCCCTGCTCAGGCAGGAAACCCTATACCATTTCAGACAAATGGCTGTCCAGTCTCTTCTTAAAAACTTCCAGTGTTGGAGCATTCACCGCTTCTGGAGGCAGGTTGTTCCACTGGTTAATTGTTCTAACTGTCAGGAAGTTTCCCTTAGTTCCAGGTTGCTCTCTCCTGATTAGTTCCATCCATGCTTCTTGTCCTGCCTTCAGGTGCTTTGGAGAATAGCTTGACTCCCTCTTCTTTGGGGCAGCCCCTGAGATACTGGAAGGCTGCTATCATGTCCCCCCTCGTCCTTCTCTTCGTTAAACTAGACATACCCAATTCCAGCAACCGTTCCTTATATGTTTTAGCCTCCAGTCCCCTGATCATCTTTGTTGCTCTTCTCTGAACTCTTTCTAGGATCTCAACATCTTTGTTACATCGTGGTGACCAAAACTGGATGCAGGATTCCAAGTGTGGCCTTACCAAAGCCTTGTAAAGTGGTATTAACACTTCATGTGATCTTGATTCCATCCCTCTGTTAATGCAGCCTAGCACTGTGTTGGCCTTTTTGGCAGCTGCAGCACATGGCTGGCTCCTATTTAAGGGTTTGTCCATTAGGACTCTGAGATCCCTCTCACAGTTATTAGTATTGAGCAAGGTACCCCCTATACCATACCTGTACAACAGTTACTAAGTGAACCCGTTGTAAGTCGAGGCCTCTTGTAACTTCCACGGGGAGGGTACTTCTTGTTATGGAAAGCTGCCCTTCCCCATTTCCCCCTCGACAGAGGAGCCTTTGTGCTAACAGCTGTCCTTGGCTCCAAGCCTCATCCAGCCTTTTCTCAGCAGTTGCTCCCTGGACAAACGACATGGTGCGCCTCGCAGGAATCCTGAAAGCGGCTTTGCACCAGCTCTGAAACCGTTCTCAAGCTGGCGTTGGCTTTGCCTCCTGACTCCTTGATTTTTCATCTAACCAGTTCACAAGTCCAATAAGAAAACCCACACCCGGGACGCCCTTCACACTAGGCTGCATCAACAGAGGGATAGAATCAAGATTAGGCGAAGGGTTAATACTGCTTTACAAGGCCTTGGTAAGGCCACACTTGGAATACGGCGTCCAATTCTGGTCACCACGATGTAAAAAAAATGTTGAGACTCTAGAAAGAGGACAGAGAAGAGCAACAAAGATGATCAGAGGACTGGAGACTAAAACACATAAGGAACAGTTGCTGGAATTGGGTATGTCTAGTTTAATGAAGAGAAGGACCAGGGGGGACAGGATAACAATGTTCCAGTATCTCAGGGGCTGCCCCAAAGAAGAGGGGGTCAAGCTATTCTCCGAAGCACCTGAAGGCAGGACAAGAAGCAACGGATGGAAACTCATCAAGGAGAGAAGCAACCTAGAACTAAGGAGAAACTTCCTGACAGTGATAAAAATTAACCAGTGGAACAACCTGCCTCTAGAAGCGGTGAATGCTCTAATACTGGAAGTTTTTAAGAAGAAACTGGACAGCCATTTGTCCGAAATGGTATAGGGTTTCCTGCCTGAGCAGGCGGTTGGACTAGATGACCTTCAAGATCCCTTCCAACTTCTCCTCCTCCTCCTCCTCCTCCTCCTCCTCCTCCTCCTCCTCCTCCTCCTCCTCCTCCTCCTCCTCCTCATTACTACTACTACTACTATCCTGGATTCTCCCCCAGAGGGAGGCTGCTAGGCTTCCATCCAGCTCAAAAAAAAGTCTTTGTTGATCAGTTGTGGAGTATTCCAGTATTTGAGGGGCCGCCACAAAGAAGAGGGGATCAACCTGTTCTCCAAAGCACCTGAAGGCTGGATAAGAAGCAATAGATGGAAATTAATCGAGAAGCAACCTGGAACTAAGGAGAAACTTCCTGACAATGAGGACAATTAACCAGTGGAACAGCTGGCCACCAGAAATCATGGGCATTCCATCACTGGAGGTTTTTAAGAAGAGACTGGACAGTCACTTGTCTGAAATGGCATAGGGTCTCCTGCTTGAGCTGGGGGCTGGACTAGAAGACCTCCAAGGTCCTTTCCAGCTCTATTCTATTCTAAGAGGCAATGAGAGCGCAACGTTTGAAAAAGAACCCTGATTGCAGACTTCCCAAAAGGTGTCTTCTGACGTCCATTGTGGACATAGGATGCCGGTCTATCTGTGATTCAGATATCTGTAAAAACAATTGGGCGGGCTTGCTTCTTTGGCTTCCGAAGGACGGACTCACCTGTTGTAGGAGAGGCAGGAGACAGATCTGCAGGGTCTTCCCATAAAAATTGGGGGCTCTGCCGTGTGTACAGCTCCAATGACTGAAGCCCCCCCACCCCTCTTTCCTAAATCATCCGTCTTTTCCTGACCTGAACGAAAAGCGTGCACCTAGGATGCCAAACCAGAGATACAACTTAGTCCGGTTTGAAAAAGACATTAAGCCTAGTCTGATCAACTCCGCGAAGCATCCTCGTTCCTTCCTTAAACGCACGGACATTTATTAGCACCTGGCTCAGGCGCGCGGCTCTCAGTGGCACCAGAAATAGGTCCCATTAGCTAGACGGGGGTCTCCTTCACGCCGGACTACGCAGGAGAACAGGGGACAGTTTTTGGAGGAGATGTGTCCTCTGCAGTTTGTAGGAGAACCTCCTTGAATCGTTGAGGTTCAATAACGCTTTCGAGCAATCAAAACTGCCTCGATTCGAGGTGGCCGCTTGGAAAATCCAACCCCGGCGTCCGGTTTGAAGAAGGTCTTTGAGGATTTCTTGACGACGCGCGGAAAAGCCGCAGAAGAGGAGGGCTCCCTTCCCGATCCTTCGGATCTTGAGCTTGCAAGGCCCAAGATGGGGAGAAGAAAGAGCTAGTTTCTATGGTAACCGAGGGAGCACGATGGAGGGGAGATGCTCCAGAAGGAGCCCTCTCTTCAGTGGCTAAGGAATCACTTGGCTCCCTTCTCGGCTGCCCTTAAACCGAGATCCCACTCCGATGCTGAGATTGTCACCCGACATTCCCAAGCACCGTCTTTCCCCGTGAGCAGCCTGTTCCTTCAAAGGAATTTGAAAAGGTGGCTGAAGATCTGAATCCTGCTTTAATCCAGAGGGAGCGCAGGATAGGGCTCTTCTGCTTTTGCTTCCAGATTTCCGTCTGTCACGCTCCACAGGGGTCATTTGGGGGGGGGATCTGGGTCCCAAGGAGGAGCGCCGCCGTCTGTTCTGGTGATGGTGTCTTTGAGGTTGTCGGGGAACGAGGGTCAGTCGAGGGAATCAGCTCTATGGGGTGCCTCTCTGGCTGAGAGGGCTGCTACAAGGCCTCAGGGAGAGGGAGGGGCCCCCCTCCCAGCAGCCCTCCCAAGGGGCTGACACCTAGGGGGCTTGGCACCCCTCCCCTCCCCTGCCTCTGGGCCGTTTTCACCTGGAGGACCGTGCAGGCTGTTTGAGATTTCTGCCTCCAACTGCATCTGTAGCTCCGGCCGGCAGGTCTGGACAGAGCTGAGGGGCAGGGGTGGGTTTGGCCTGTGCTCCCCCCCTCCCCACGCCGAGAGAAACTTTCTGCAGGGCGGTGGGCTTGGCAGTGCGGAGGAGAGCAAGCGAGCGCGCAGGCGGAGCAGGGCACACACACGCAGGCGCGCGCGCCCACCAAATCTGCAGAGCCAGCTGGGCGGAGAGAACCAGCCCAGGGCTGCGCTGCTGCTGCTGCTGCTGCCTGCCTTCCCTTCTGGACCCAGAGCGGGCAGCCGCCTGCCTCTGCCGGGCGGGCACGCCAGGCAGGCACACACGTCGGCTGGCTGCGAGAGCTCGCCTTTGTCCTCCTCCGAACAGCAGCAGCGGCAGGTAGGCGGAGGAGGGGGAGGAGGAGGGGGGGCAGTCTCCAAAGCATCCCTCCTCCAGATCCTGGGAAGCTGGTGGGCAGCTGGCCCCCTCTCCCCCTCTCTCTCCTGCAGTGTTGGGGGCAGGGAGGCCGCCTGGCGCAAGCGGGGAGGAAGGGAGGGATTCTTTCTTCCTCCCTCGGCTTCCAGGAGGAACCGCCCCCACGTGGCTGCACTGGCCTTCCTCCCCTCCCTCCCCCCAACCCTCCAGCCAGCCTCCTCCTCCTTCCAGCCAGAGAGCAGCACATTAGCAGCAGCACCAGCAGCAGCGTACCTCTGCTCCCCCCCAGCGGCAGCCAGCCGCCTGCTGCCAGCCAGCCCAGCTGGAGACGGGGGCGGTGGCTGCCGTCGCAAGCCAAGAGGGAGCATTGCGGACAATGCCTGGGCAGTCTCCGCACTTCTCCTCGCCTTCTCCGAAGGAGGAGCAGCAGCAGCAGCCGTGCACCACGCAGGAGCTGCCGCAATGACAGCCGGTGCAGCAGCCGGGCAGCGGCCACCGGCGTGAAGGGACCGTGGTGGGCGCCTCGGCAAGATGAACGCCTCCCTGGATGGCGGCAGCCCCGGGAATGGGAGCGGCGGGGGCGGGGGCGGTGGGGAAAGTGGCGGGAGGCCCTTCTGCCTGCTGGCGGCCGGCTACCCGGACAGCCTGGACGTCTGCCTGCTGGAGGCCATCATCATCGTCTTCCTGACCGTCCTCATCATCTCGGGCAACCTGGTGGTCATCTTCGTCTTCCACTGCGCGCCGCTGCTGAACCACCACACCACCAGCTACTTCATCCAGACCATGGCCTACGCCGACTTGCTGGTGGGGGTGAGTTGCCTGGTGCCCTCCCTCTCCCTGCTCCACCACCCGCTGGCCTTCCTGCCCGAGGCGCTGGTCTGCAAGGTCTTCGGCTACGTGGTCTCGGTGCTGAAGAGCGTCTCCATGACCTCGCTGGCCTGCATCAGCCTGGACCGCTACATCGCCATCACCAAGCCCCTCAGCTACAGCACGCTGGTCACCCCCTGCCGCCTGCGGGCCTGCATCCTCCTGCTCTGGCTCTACTCGGGCGCCGTCTTCCTGCCCGCCTTCTTTGAGTGGGGCAAGCCCGGCTACCACGGGGACATCTTCCGCTGGTGCGCCGACTCTTGGGATACCCGGGCCGTCTTCACCCTCTTCATCGTGATCCTGCTCTACGCGCCGGCCGCCTTGGTGGTCTGCTTCACCTACTTCAGCATCTTCCGGATCTGCCAGCAACACACCCGGGAGATCAACGAGCGGCGGGTGCGCTTCAGCTCCCAGGAAGGGGAGGCGGCCGAGGGCCAGCCGTGCCCGGACAAGCACTACGCCATGGTCCTCCTGCGCATCACCAGCGTCTTCTACATCCTTTGGCTCCCTTACATCATCTACTTTCTCTTGGAGAGCTCCTCCATCTACCACAGCCGCCTGGCCGCCTTCCTGACCACCTGGCTGGCCATCAGCAATAGCTTCTGCAACTGTGTCATCTACAGCTTGTCCAACAGTGTCTTTCAGAAAGGGTTGAAGCACCTCTGGGGTGCCCTTTGCACCCCTTGCGGCCGGCACCGGTCGGCCAAGGACTCTTCTGCTGCCTCTCGCAGCAAAAGACCCTCCAACGGCTGTCACGTCTGACCAGGGGGGGGGGCTGCCCTGAACTCAAGACATCCAGATGTGCAAAAAGAGAAAGAGGGAGAGAGAGAGAGACCCATGTCCTTCTCCCTGGGAATGCTGCAGTTTTCCAAGGATTTCGGGAGGATTTCCACCAGCACGGGGGGGGGGGGCTGCCCCCGGGTTTCCACCAGCACGGGGGCTGCCGCCGGGTTTCTGGGTTCCGCCTTCTTCAGGAAGGTCCTGGTGGGAAGCAGGAAACGTCCACTTTGACCAGGGGGGAGGGTGGGGAGGGAAAAGGGAGTGGGGCTTCTTCTCTGGAGTGACTCATGGATGCTCTCCAGCACCGGCAAAAAGACGCTCCAATTCTTCCCTCGCCTCTTTGCCCTGATGTTTGGAGATTTATGCTCTTTGTCTCAGTGCAGGAGTGTGTACCTGGTTTAATAGTGTATTCTTCAATTTGTTTGTGCATATGCCAAAGTACGTTTCGAAAATCTTATGGGTCCAAATGATGATTGTTCCTCTCCATCCTCTCCAGTCCCTATCCCCCCTCCCAACACGCCTGTAGCCAATAATGTAAACACTTGAACCCCTGGATTCCAGTGTGCCTGAGCCAGCGGTGTCCCCCCCCTTTTTTTTCCTCTCTAGGCTTTTTATAACTGTGGTTATTCCTCCTCTCCCGATCCCCTTTTGCCCCCCTCCCTCCCTCCCTCCTCCCCTCCGTCTCACCAGGTTGTTCATTTGTGATTTAAAAGTACCGTATTTGCATTTTTCTTAAAAAAAAAAAAAAAGAAAAGAAAGAAAAAAAGAAAGAAAGAAACTTAACTGAAATGTCTGTGTAGTAAAAAAAAAAATGAATGACTTTGGAACAGACCAAATTAGCAAATGAATAAAAGTGTTTCCTTTCCCCCCACCAACTCCCCCTGATTTATTTATTTATTTATTTAAGTCCAGCCGGAGAAAGAAAAATATTTATTTTGTCCTTTTTTGTTGTTGTTTGTTTTCGATTTGGTAGGCCAACCCGCTCCGGGATTGTTTGGGGTTTTTGAGGAAGTTTGTCAAAACAAATTTCTCTTTTTATATATGTATGTATGTATGTATATGTATGTGTGTATGTATATATGTGTATATGTATGTATGTGTGTGTGTATATATACATATATATACACATATACATATATATGTATACATACACACACACACACACACACACACTGTATTTTCCGGTATATGACGACTTTCTAAACCAGTGGTTCTGAACCTGTGGGTCGGGACCCCATTTGGGGTCGAACGACCATTTCACGGGGGTGGCCAAACAACGCAGTCCGCCATTTTTTCCCCCCTTTTCCTTAGCTGTGCTACTCCCTTTTATTCTATTGGCTTTTGAAAGCCAATAGAATAGACTCTCGTGAATAGAGTCTAATTCTATTGGCTTTCAAAAGCCAATAGGAATTGTCCAGGCTGTCTCTGCCCTGCTGAGCCCGCCCAAAGTCCCATTCTGCAAACGGTGCTGCACCCGTTGAGTAGTCCTCGACTTACGACCGGTTGAGAAGTCCTCGACTTACGACCAGTTGGGGGTTGCGGCATTAAAAAGGTTGAGAACCAGCGTTCTAAATCATGAAAATCTTCTCAAAAGTCGGGGGTCGTCTTATATGCCGAGTCATCTTATACGCCGGAAAATACGGTGTGTGTGTGTGTGTGTGTGTGTGTGTGTGTGTGTGTGTGTGTGTGTATATATATATATATACACACACACACACACACACAATATATATATATTTCTAATATGGTAATACGATAGGAAAAGAAAGAACTTTGGGAAAGCCGAGTTAAGGAGATTGCTTCCGTGGGGATCCCAATTGGAAGTTTGAAATCAGCGGAAAGTGCTTCTGAGGCCTCTGAATTTTGATAACGGTGACATGCAAAGGGTGGTGGTGTGTTTTTGTGTGTGTGTATTGGTGTGTACTTAACTATCCGTTTTAAGAAAGCAGCCCAGGCGTTCAAGCTGATTCACATTCTACTAGGATGCGTCTCAGGCACTGCCTGCATTGGGGTGCAAAAAAAAAATATGTTTTTGTATTCAGACCACATTGCTGGGGTTAATCAACCGAGCCCTATCTGCAAAATATCCACTTTGGATCTAGAGAGAAGCTGGCTGAAAAAGGTTAGAGGGAACTGCTCGGAGTAGGGGCAGTCTACCTTCCCATGCCAAGTGCTGCAGAGGAATCGGTTCTCACGCACGCCCTGACGGTGGCTTTCTGCCTGCCCATTGTTGGAAACAGGATGCGGTGGCAAGCAAGACTTTCTCTTTAAAACAAGTCTTCCTTCCACCACCACCACCCCTTTTTTTTTAACCTGCCATTTTGCAGGAAAACCCTGGAAGTTCAGAACCCTGCTTGCTCGCAGTCTCCCCTCTTTCTCCGTCCGTCCCCCCCAAAGCTGTGGACCAGCAACCGAGATCTTTTTTGCAACGCAATCCTGGGTGCAAAAAAGGATGGATGTTTTCATTCCTCGCTTCCTGAGCTTTAAAATCACAAGGCGGTGGACAAGCCGGTTCCCATATTTTGTCGTTGCTCGATGAACGAGCGCTTACAGCGTTTGTGCGAGACGGGCAGTTGCCCACCAGGGAAAAAAGGGGTGATTTTTTTTTTCCGGTGGGGCACGGAGAAGACATTTTACACGGCGGTGAAGACCTGGCGAAACTACATTCACGACCAGGTGCACCTGACGTAGATGGAGCTTAAAAAACGGCGCTGTGAAAGGCACGGTTTTGTCCTGCCGTTAGGAACCGGCTTCGGCCTTGGCATCGGGCATTTTTAACCTTGTTAGTCTGGATCTTGCCTGTTACGGGGACATTCCGTAGTGTCGTTTTTTAAAACCTGGATTTTAGGACTTCGCACGATCCAGGGCTGTGCTGGATCCAACACCAGGAGAAGGGCATTCCCTGGATCTGGAGGCTTCGTAATATCCCCTTCACTCTCCCGGCTGTCCCGGATAGCGGAGTAGAGACGGGGGGGGGGGGGTCCAAAAATCTCCCTCCCGTCTGCAGGGTTAGACCCAGCACATGTTGGCAGAGGCTGATGGTTTTGGGCTGGCGACCTGCATTAGCACAGGGACTCCCGACTTTACGACAGCTCACTGAGTGATTGTTCAAACTTACAACGGCGCCAAAAAATGTGACCTGTGAGCGTTTTTCCCACTTTACGACCTTTGCAGCGTCCCTAGGGATTCAGCTGCCGGGCAACCGGTTCGTATTTTTATGACCGTTGCTGTGTCCCCCAAGATCACGTGGTCCTCTGTGAAAGGCAAAAATCAATGGCGAAGCAGGATTCGTTTAACGACCAGGGGGCTACCTTATCAACTGGAGCGACTGACTTAACCAGAGAGGCAAGAAAAGTGGTAAAAAATGGGGCACACTTCACTTAACCCCCGAGTGTCACAACCACGGAAAGTTGGGGGCTGAATTGCGGTCATAAGCCGAGAGCCATTTATTTGTTACTTATCAAATTCAGAGGCCAATCGTCTCGCTCACGGAGTGATTGCAAGAAATTTAAAAAAAAAAACAATGCTCCAGTTTTGGGACGGGGGGGGCAGGAAGATACCCCAGTGTCAACCTTTTTAATGCCGCGACCCCCAACCGGTCGTAAGTCGAGGACTACTCAACCGGTCGTCAGTCGAGGACGACTCAACTGGTGCAGCACCGTTTGCAGAAGGGGACTTTTGGTGGGCTCAGCAGGGCAGAGACAGCCTGGACAAATCCTATTGGCTTTTGAAAGCCAATAGAATTAGACTCTATTCAAGAGAGTCCATTCTATTGGCTTCCAAAAGCCAATAGAATAAAAGGGAGCAGCACAGCTAAGGAAAAGGGGGGAAAAAATGGCGGACTGCATTGTTTGGCGACCTCCGTGAAATGGTCGTTCGACCCCCAAATGGGGTCCCGACCCACAGGTTGAGAACCGCTGCTTTAAGGGGTGACTGTCTCATAATGCGGTGGTCTTCCTTAGGGAGAGGGGAAATCGGACCTTCTATGCTTCAGAGCTTGACAGGTTGTGACGGGGGCACAGCCCCAAATACACACCGCAACTTCTGACTGAATGCAGAGCAAAAGCAGAGGAAATACAGGATTGGGGGGGGGGGGGCTGGTTGTGCTTCGCACTGGGAGAGCCGAGACTCCGAGCTTAATAGACTCAGACCCAACGGCTAGATCCATCAAGAACAGCCTCAGAAACTGTGAAGATGTCTGTGTGTGTCTTTGTGCATTTGTGGTGGGGAGAGGTTAACGGGCCTTGCTGCGTAAGTTAAAGCCAGCAGTATTTAGTTGTGTAAAAGAGCAACAAAGGCAGTTCCGAATGCGCTGTTTTATACCTGTCATGACAGCTGGAGTATCCAGCCTTTTTAATATATATATATATATATATATCTGTTAAGTTTATCTAATTGCAGGGAAAATAAACAGGCAGTGCTGTTCTACTGGACAGGTAGAAAGATGAGAAGCAATTCCAACAATCCATCACTGTGATTTATTTTATTCCTGGAGAGAAATCTCTTTACGGGTTGCGTAGCTAACGAGCCAAAGGGCCAAAGCAGTAAAAATAATCCCTAATCCCTGTCTTTATAGCCCTGGGAACTTTTACCCACAGATTTCTTGGACCATCACTGCGCCTCGTTGATTTTTGCTGGCTTTCAAGGTCCAGCTAGCTGGACTCGGGGAGGTTTTCAGCATAAAAACAAAAGTATTTGCTTTATTCCCACCCCAGTTCCTGGCTCCCTGGAGACTTCTCTTAAATGCCACCCCATTCTTACTGGCAGGAAAAGATCTGGCGCTTTGTCCCCACAAGTTGTTGTGTGTTTTGCTTGGCTGGGACATCTGGCGCGCGAAATGCTTCCGTGGCTCTCGGTCCTTCCTCCGATAGCCTGTGGGATGCCTCCCCAGGACGCTTTGCTTCACGCTGGGTCTCCGGCTTTGGGTTTGGGTCCCACGACAAAAAAAGGGTATTTGCCAATCAAGGAGAATATTTGTAAGCTCGGGAGTGAGATGAGGGGGTCCTGGGTGCTCTCTGAGCTTGGTGGCTTTCTTGCAGATCTTTTATCACCTAACCAGGTAACATCATCAGTTCTAGAAGGGGGTGAGGTTTGCAGAGAGGAGGAGGAGGAGGAAGACGACAACTGTGGGGTCCTTGGTGCTCTCTAAGCTTGGTGGTTTTTCTTGCAGACATTTCATGACCCAACTAGGGAACATCATCAGTTCTAAAAGGGGGTGAGGTTTGCAGAGAGGAGGAGGA